CAAACGGTGTGCAGGAAGATCCCTAAGAAGCATGTTCTTCCCCAAGGGCCAATGACCTCATTACTTCACACATCTTTTTAAAATTGGTGCTGACACTGGGGCTTGAACTCAAAGGCCTTGTGCTTTCACTTGACTGTTGTGCTTTACTACTTGAGCCACATCTCCACTTTTAGTTGTTTTTGTTTCTGGTTAACTGGAGATGAGTCTCCTAAACTTTTCTGGCTGGGCTGGATTTGAACTGTGATCCTCAGATCTCAGCTTCTTGAATACAGACATGAACCACCAGCACCCAGCCACAAATGGTGTGCAGTACAAGTGGCTTGCCTGCCAGAAATCACCCTTCCCTCCCCTACTTCCCCAGGGACAAGGGCTTGTATTTAAGCACATTACTTAGTAACAATTTAAACAATCAAGCTTAAAGGGTTTGTGTACTTGTTTTGCAAGAGAGGAAGTAAAGAGGGAAGAGAGGAGACTGATTTGAAATGTGCTGATATCCAGCTGCTGTGAATGGTTGGAAGCTCAAATACCACGAAGTCATTGAGAGGTATGCTAAATAAATTATAGTTCATCACCGGTTAAATACACTTAAGGCTCATCCATATGCACTGGAAGACTGGAAAGCAGGTAAACAGACTGGAAGTGGCACTGTAGGTATTAATTTGAAGTCACAAAAATCTCTTTAAGTAAGAAAGGAACAGGGCTACCTACCTCACGGGGGGGAGGAAGGGTCAGCGAGACTGGTGACCGCCTCGTGTTTGCAAAACTCTGAGGTCTCTGGAAAGTTACAGATCTTGCTATGAAATGTTGGGCCTGGACTTCACACACACACAAGGCTCAACATCTGCCAGACACTTCCCTGATGGGTGCTTTCAGCCCTGAGGCAGGTCCCTCATTCCATTCACCTTACAGATGAATCAGCTTCAAAACCCTTGCTCTCTAGCACTATGCCCCATCTGTTAAAGGCACTTGCTGGGGGGGACGGGGGTGGGGGGTGAGGGGGGGAAGGTATAACAGAGGAATTTGGAAACAAAGATAGTGGTGCTGAAAGTCTGACAGGTACTATTTTGTTCTATGTGAACTTCTGCTGTATGCGAATTACATAATTTTAGAAGTAAAAGATGGATCATGTGTTGAAGGTCTAGCTGGAGTAATATAAGTGATTCCCTTAGAAAGCTTAACAAGGAGGCACAATGGAGCAAGAAACAAACCGAAAGGCGGGCATTGCTGGGAATGAAGAGGAAGCCTTGCCTCCAGCTCTCTCAGCATTTTTTCACTCAAAGCCGGTGCTCTAACACTTGAGCCACCTCTCCACCTCTGGCTTTTTTCCAGTTAAGTCTCATGAACTTTTCTCTGGACTGACTTCAGTGATCCTCAGATCTCAGCCTCTACCAGCAGTCCCTGGTGAGGAAGCCTTAAAAAAGTTAACTTGTTTTGAAGCTGGTACCAGTTTGCTTATAGAAGTACTCGGTTTTGAACTTAGAGCCTCACACACAAATACTTGGAATTCTTTGTGTCCTATTACATATTGTTTAGAAAATGCATTGGGAATTTTTGTCCACTTCCTGCAGAGAATATGCTTTCAATGCTCCGTACACTAACGTGTCAAAATGACCACAGGGATTGCAAATCACATTATACTCCCAATCACCAATGCTGAACTGTATCTGGTTTTCTGTGTCAAGTCCCCAACATTAGAAATAGATGACATACTTGGTGACCTGTTAAATCCTCCTGGACAGAGACACACCCACTTGCAGTCCCCACCTATCTTGCCAGGCTGTAGGAGGGGTTTTGTTTTTTCTAAATCCCACAGGAGAAAGGTTACTCTTGCTATGTAAACTGCTACAATACACTCACATTAAAGACTAGAACGCTTGCCACATTTTATATCATTTATGAGCAACTGCAGCCTTGATTCTAACCAAATAACTTCTGGTACCAGCAGGCTGCAGTAGGACTGCAGACACTCTAATGTGCATCCTAAATACACCAAAACGCATGCAGAGAACCGTATGGCTCACAACACGATACCAACAGCCACCAAATTCCAGCAAAATGAAAATCAGGAAAAAACTCACAAGCCTACTCAGCTACCATTACTGCTCCATGCAATCATTACTGTCCTAGGACAAGTCCCATTGTCTCAAATGGAATGAGGATGACCGGGTTGATAACGTAACCTCCCCTAGCAGGTGAGGTGCAGTTATTTCTATAGGTCAGGGATAACCATCCTATTTGTGTCTGCTGGGGTGTTCACTTCCTGGAAGCACACAGGCCAGGCACCAAGCCAGGCAGGCTGCTTTCACAGCGCAGTATATACAACTAGTAAAGAGGGACATGCTGTCCTCTTCATGTATTACATTATACAGTGAAAAGCCACAATGCCAGGCAGGTGGCTCGTGTTCCTCAAGAGACCGAGATTTGGGAAGACCAAGGCTCAAAGTCGGCCTCGGCCAGAAGAAACAACAAAACTTTGAAACCAATAAAAAATTGGACGTAGAAACAGGCACCTGTCACCCCAGCTAGATGAAAAGTAATTAACAGGATTTTAATCCAGGCCAAACTAAGGGGAGAACTGGAGATGTAGGTGTGTGTGTATAGTAGGTTACCTGCCTGCCAAGCAGAAGGTTGAATGTCCAAACTCTAAGCACACTAAAAATACCACATTGCCCTTTGGGATCCATCTGAATATTTGCACACGAACTCAAAAACCGAACTAAATTCCAAACTAAAATCTGTTGCTCTAACACTGCTATACGACAAGGGAACAGAATCATTTCACATGCAAACATAGCCAGGGACACGTCAACTTAATTCTTGGTCAGTGAAAGGACCAGTCTTCCTTTAGCAGCCCACACCTGGAACCAGGCGCGTACTGTAGCCAGTAATTCTGTGGAGATAAAAGATCAAGTGTAAAGGACAGATTGGTTGTAATCAATTCTCTTCCCCTCGTGTAATTACACTTAACCACATCGTTGTCAGAGTAAGATTTCAACACCAATGTTCACCTGTACATGTAGGCTACAGCCAAATCCTGCATTTGAAAATCCTGGCCAAATTTTCCCACAACGATGGGCTGAACCTGGCTGTACTCTCCAAATGAAAACTCTATCTGGCACTACAGAAAGAGCTGTAATAACACCATGAATCCAGCTTCTCTCCCTGGAGATCAGGAAATACCTGCTCCTCACTATAGAGTGGGTAGAGGGAAGCAAGGGTGAACTAGTAAATAAAATAATTGCACACATGAAGATCTTCTATTTTATATTTTATTGCATTATGAAAATAATACATTTATTTGGCAAAGTAATCTAGGCTCCAAGATGAAATAAAACTTCTGAAGTGTAATGGTATTTTTTTTAATGTGAAATATATTCTAACCAATACATACTAGCATCCTTATTAGGCCAATAACCCAGCAAATCTAATTTTAATAATTCCATATAAAGTTACAAGATGTTTTTGCATGTATCCATTTTATGATTAGCACAAATTGTGAGAACTGATCATTTTATCAAAATCAACATGTTTATGAAACTTCTGTTCAGAAGACAATTTGAATGACTACCCGACATTATTTCCTTTGGTTCTACAAGTTGCATTTTCAATCTTACATTTTTCATAATCAAACACTGTAGCAGTTTTATATTCTGCTCAAGTACCTTTATAGGCAAACTAGTATATTACATCTACATTATTTGAAAATTTGCTGACTTACAAATGAAAAATGCATAAATACATGCCTATCTACACCAGAAAAATAAAATCCTTTGAATCTCAATTCTTTAACAGATCACACTTTCTGGCCCAAGACTTGGGATAGTTTCCAAATTGTTATGGCTCTATAAATGAAATTCCAGTGCTCTGGCCACATGTCTGAAAGGTGTATCTGTGTGAACTTGTGAATCAACACTAAAAAAATTACACTTACATATTTCTGTTCCACCACACTTTTCAGAATGGAAAAATATGAACTTTTTTAAAGGTTGAGTCTGGGCACTAGTGGGTAACACCCATGACCCCAGCTACTGAGGAGGCTAAGATCTGAGGATAGCAGTTCAGAGCCAGCCTAGGGAAGACAAATCCAGGAGACGTATAGCTCCAAATAACCAGCAAAAAGGTGGTGTGGCCCAATTGGTAGACACCAGCCGAGAGGTGAAAAAAAAAATCCAAGAGAGTTGGAAGGCCCTGAATTCAAACCCAGTACTGACCCCCCCCAAGAAAAGCTTAAAAGCTGGGGGCCAGTGGCTCATGCCTGTAATCCTAACTACTCAGGAGGATGAGATCTGAGGATCACGGTTCAAAGCCAGCCTGGGGAAGGAAACTCTGTGAGACTCTTATCTCCAATTAACCACCAGAAAACCAGAAGTGGTGCTGTGGCTCAAGTGGTAGAGCACTAGCCTTGAGCTGAAGAGCTGAGGGGACATCACCCAGGCCCAGAGTTCAAGCCTCACAATCGACCAAAAAAAAAAAAAAAAAGTTTAAAAACTTTAAGAACTGTTTCCACTTCTTCGAGGAGCAAGGTGGTAGAAACTATTTTGTTTATATTTCCAATTTTCTCCTCAGCATCTTCAAATTCTCTTTACAGGCTAGTTTCAACACCAAATAACTAAACACTTTGGTGATTCGTTTTGATTCTCTTAGATGTTTTGCTACAACTTCCCTTGACGTGCCAAAGAAACTTGCCTAAAAGCCTCAGAAACAGTCACAAATGAGTTACTATCAAAAATGCCATTTCACTGACCAAAGCCTATGCCAAGTGCACCTATGCGCACACCATGGAAACATATTCCCAGTAGCCAACAGTATCATCTGAAGTCAGCCAAGCAGTTTCACTTTGCAACAAATGAAACCACACATTCCATCTATCCTACCTACAGGAGATATCCCATTGCCTTCTACATGTATCTCAAGTCTGACTGTGATCAACATGAGGATCTAATAAATATCAAAACTATTAAACTATAGAGATTAAAATGAAGATTTCTCATAGAGTTAAGTGATGTTTTGGTACATTCACCATTATTGTACTTTATTTAATAAAGAAATACATTTGCCCTTGCAAAAATAGCAATTGCAAGTTTACAAACAAAACCACAGACCTCAAAAGTCACAATGCTAAGTCTTCAACTTATAACCAACAGAAGTCAATCGATTGGTTACAAATGGTCCATGGCACTACAATGAAAATAAAAATTATCAAAAGGTCACAGGAGCTTAGAGAATAGGTTTACTGACAATTTCATAAATACCCTAAAGAAAAATCCCAAGATTTCTAAACTTATGTTTAAAATCTGTTCTCATTGGCAAAATTCCTCAAGAAAATAATCATTAAAAATGAATGTCACATTTAAAATTTGCTTCATTTTAATATTGTAGCAAAAAAAAATTACGTTTTTTTTTTCTCCCTCTTGGGTACAAAATCCACTCCGTTTTAATCTCAACTGTTAAGACATATTCACAAGTACATAACGTAGCTGCTGTGAACGCGACAGTACCAAGCAGTCAGTAGTGTATTATTCTACAAACAACGGAGCCAACGATGGTGGTGTCTTTAGTCAAAGAAATTGGAAGTAGTCAAAACGTAACTGTGGCTTCCTTTCCAATCACCCAGAGAATATGACACAATGTCAGAGATCGATTGCATCAGCTTTTAAGTTCATCTGTGTATTCAGGTAACTGAAACTTAAGGGAATTTGTCTGATAAAAATGTACTCGATTATTTCATAACATTAACATTTATTGCTTTATATGAATACTGTATTGAAAGCCCAAGCATTCAGTTTACACACAGAAATTATACAATTATATACCGCTTCACAAAGGCAGTAAACACATTACATTCTACAAAATCTACTTTACAGAAATTTAAAAATTCTAAATATCAAAAGATACAGCTGAAGAAACAGGTATAAATTTGGCAGCCAGTAATTTTGACAGGGAGGTTGCAGCTTGCATGACTTTCAATATGTGAATCTGAAAATATTGAGTTTAGAGTAATCATTGTGCTTGTGTTGATCTGAAAAATGTAACACTGGCTGTCGAAGAAGCATGTTCAAAAATATTTAATTCCCATCAAAATGTCATACCCATTATGGTGGCTTCTGTGTACCTCTAAAACTGCAGTCGTCCTAGCTCAGGTACATTACTAAAGTAGTATGTGGATCCTTCCAGTACTGTGGTGTTTCGTACCATTGACATGTGCATACTCTAGAATAATTTAGAAAGAAATGTGTAATATTCACAATGTTCAGAAACACAAGCAAAAAGTTAAGGAGCCTGTCCAATTCTGCGAGATGGTCAGTCACATACCGGCTCCATAAGCGCTCATTCTACAAAACAGCAAACTATGTTTGAACACAATCTCCGAGATAAAGCACATTTCCTCATAAATAATAGTCATTTTCCCCCTCAGGCACCTCAGAAGTATACAAAAGAATTTTAGTTTGAACAGGTCTCTTGGAATGTGTTTAACCTGGTATTTCAACAGACAAGATTTCCAGGGTTTCACAAGGGCCAGATTTTATTTGATTTACTCAGAAGAGAAAGAAAATGTCTTCTGAAAGAGGTGAACTCAATCATTACCAATAGAAAAAGTATCCACTGTATTCATCTCTTATAGAAACAGAAAAATATAACATTTCCCCCCTTAGAATAATATATATGTATATATATATATGTATATATGACTTAAAGTTCCATTGTACATAGACGAACAATAAAATCTGGAAACCAGCATGAAACCCTATAATTCACATGTTAAAATGCTGAAACAATGACCAAAATATGAAAACTCCTAAAGCTGTCAGAAAAAGACAAGACAAAAAGCTTCCTTGTATGCGTATAAACTAAACATGTTCATCTTTAAAAGTTTTTCAAAATTATAATTACCTTCCAGTTTAAAAACTTTAATTCTAAATTAAAAAAAAAAAATCTATACACAAATCACTGATTTGACCAGACCCCCCACCCCAAACCAAAAACCTGTCAGCAGTAAGCAGGACCCAAAGGAGCTGATATTCACAGTTCTTAAAGGTACAACTCTTTCAGGATTTATTCTTAAAGTACTTTATTTTACAACCTGCTTCTCTTGTAAAACTAAAGGTCCACTTTGTTACATAAAAGTTTTATACAGTGTAAAACCAGGACTGTATGTAAAATACTGTATCTAAAGGTTTCTAAGTAGTTAGTCTTGTTCCATTGGTTCATCTGTGCCTTCCGTGGCTTCGTCATTTTCCATGGATGATTCTGAGGCAATCTCTCCAGTTTTACTGGAAGTGGATCCTACTAATTCTTCTGTCTCCTGGCAGTCAGAATCACTACCTTCAGGGCCTGCACTTTCACTACTTTCACAATGCAAATCTTTCTGAGCTTGAGGCAGACCAGATTCTTCCATTTGATTGTTTTCCTCAGAAGTCTCGTCATTCACAGTTAAGGCATCATCAGATTCTTTTTCTTGAATTTTTCTTTCTGCAATCGATTCTCTTGATGTCATAAAAGACTCTAAAAATAAGCAAATGTTGTTAAATTTTATTTTCCAAATACCTTCATAATTTAAGTTTCATGAATTCTGATATCCCATAGTTCAAATCATATTCCCTGAAACTGAGCAGCAACTACATATTCCTGGGGGAAAAGCCCAACATCAGCACTGTAAGGAGTTCCATTACATTAAATTCTTTCACAAAAAAATAAAGTGTAAAAAAACTGAGGATCTAACCACCCTTTTACAGATGGTCTCTAAATACCTTCTTCTTCCCCTTCTTCATCCTCTTCTTCATCCTCTTCTGAACAGTGCTGCCTGGAACGACTACTTTCTTTGTCTTTATCCTGAGATGAAGATGTTTCTGTTTCTTCCACCTCAACTGAAGAAATCTCACCGGCAGTTGTCTGACTGGCCGACTCTCTGACTTCTTCTCTGTCAAATCTTAGTCTTTTTACCTCATGCCCTTCAGCTTCCACAGCATCTTCATCTGGATGTTTATTTTTTATAGAGCTTACTGAGGAAACTTCTGATTCAGATGGTGGAGAATCACTGTAATTGTTTTTCAAAAGTATCATTAATAACATTATTTTCCTTATCTTCTACAGTCTCATTTTTATGGTATAAATTTTTAAATTGCATTTTAGTGTCAAAGTTAAATTACATCTGTGCAAAGAAAAAAAAGAGAACAATTTCAAGGCAACTTTAACTGTTTGATGAGTACCTCTCAGAGGGCCTACTTGGCCATTTACATGACCTTACTGTACAATTCTATGTCCACCTTCACCTGTTCTAAAGTTACAGACATAAGCCATGGTGCCTACAACTGCAGGAAAGCATGGTTCTGTTCCTCAAAATATGACCCCTTGCACCCCACCCCTTCCAGTGTACTTCACAGCATCTCCAGATGACTTGTAACATCTACTATGATGGAAATGATGACAATACATGAATGCAGTCTCACCAATTACAAACCTGTTAACTCACTGGTTGTAAATAGCGCAAAAACCATAAATGCTGACTTCCTATGAAAACTTTTTGCTCTTTTAATTTAAAACACACAAACAAACCTGTGGTTTTTCTCTTCACTTTGTTGTAGATTTGACTCTTTGCTGTCTGTGTTCTCAGGCAAACCATTTGTTGTCAAAGGGGCTGACAAAGAAACCTTTGGTCGATTAAGTGGCCTGGGTGTTCCAGGGCCATTTATATTAGACCTATAAGAAAAATCAACATTATTTTCCATTTTTGTAGCAAGTCTTTCCTCCTATAGTATGTTTATGTATATGTCACAGTATTTGCTCCAATTCTGATTTACAGATTCATGGTTTACCTATTATTCAGTATAACTTAGATATATTATCTAGGACAGACATTAGGATCTAGAATATCCCATATCTTTCATAATAAAAATGTCCAACTTTCTTTTAAAACCTGCTATTCAAAATCGGGAAAATGTGAAGTCTTTGGATCTATTTTTTATTTCATTGATATGTATTTTTTAAAAAACAATAATCTCACCGGTCAGTGTAGCTTGGTGAATTTCCAGGAAACATAACACCATTCATCCGATTTAAACTATTAGAACTGTTTTTCCTAAAAGAAAAGTTATGGATGGCTTAGTTCTTTATTTATTTATGTAAGAATTATGTGCCTTAAGACCTTTTGTAACATCTTATGAGAATGGAAGATTTAATTTTGCAGCTTTCAGTGTCCAAACTACCCCACATTCATTAGCAAAGCATCCATATTTAAGTAGCTGTGTGCCAATGACTAACACCTGTAATCCTAGCTACTCAGGTAGCTGAAATATGAGTTTCTCAGTTCAAGCCAGCCTACGTAGAAAACTGATGAGGCTTATTTCCAATTAACCAACCCCTCAAAAAACCCGCAAGTGGAGCTGTGCCTCAAAGTGGCAGAGTGCTAAACTTGAGCAAAAACTATCAAGGGATAGTATCTAGGCCATGAGCTTAAGCCCTAAGAGCAGTATAAAAAATTAAAAAATAAAGTTCAAAACATAAGCTCTTTTTTTAAAAAATACAATTTTTAATAGTTTCTCTGTGAAGGAACGCATTAGAGGATTAACTTGGCATCTTATTTAGCAACACAGGTAAACCACGAGTTCTAAAAACAAATTCACTATTATTGTCCCTATGAAAGCACAGGAAGCTTAATGTTAAGCCAGTGTTTCTCAAAAGGAGACCACCTCTTCTCTCGTCCTTTACACCTGGTTCCCCACACGTGGCAATCTCTGAAGGTTCTGCAAGTGGAGATGGAGGACAGACACTTAGCTCACTTATTCCACTGAAGCCAAGGGCACTGGTACACCTACAATTCCCAAGGAGTCTACACACAATAATTATGTCCTCCAAATGTCAATAATGCTAAGGTTAAGAACACAGTCCTAGCCAGGAGCTGCTGGCTCATGGCTGTAATCCTACCTACTCAGGAGGCTGAGATCTGAGGATCACAGTTCAAAGCCAGCCCGGGCAGGAAAGTCTTTAAAGCCTCTTATGTTCAATTAACCACCAGAAAACCAGAAGTGGTGCTGTGGCTCAAGTGGTAGAGCGCTAGAGCCTTGAGATGAAGAGCTGAGGGACAGTACCCAGGCCCAGAGTTCAAGCCCCATGACCAAAAAAAAAGAGGAACATATGTCCTAAACTGAGTCCTTACCTTGCCTCATCAATCTTGACAACTACCATTTCTTTTGTATCACAAAGTGGAATACCATCATCAAGTAGCTATTCCAAACTATCAGTTATGTTCTAAAAGAACCTAGGATGGTAAGTCAGGGCCCAACAATATTAGAATTACAGTAAATTACCAATTTCTTCAATCCAAATCTCTTTACTAGAAAAAAACACATAGGTACTATTATTGATAATAGTCTATTTTGGGGACTAGGTAGTCGGTTATCATGATTAAATGTTATATTTAATTACATGTGAAAAATGCAACCTATTTTACGAATATATTAAATTAAAATTTAATAATGTATCACATTATGTATCAGCACAATGCATGTGTTATTAGCAATGTATTAGAAAAATTAAATGATATACCCAAAGTAGGAAAAAAAATTTCCATACTTACTCTGAAGAAGGATAAACACAGCTAACAACCATCACATTCTGCAATAACAAAAATTGGTGATTTAATATGAAGGAAAATCACTATGACATAAAAGTTTGTTAATTGTTTTAAATTTCTCAAAAATCATTCCAGTGGGTTAAGCTTCCGTCATTCCAACTTGGCTAATAAAAGAAAAGACAAGGTTAAAACGAAAACTGATGAGAAGAGAAATGAAGGACTGAAAGAAAATACTACTAAACCATCTGGGTTTTGCTAATTTTATTTTTTTCTACCCTAGTTATTTATTCTGGAGCCTTAACATCATGTACCATATGTTCAAGAGTAGACTCATGCTCTCTTTTGAAGATTAATGTGAGACCAAGCCTCTTAGTGTGAGCATAAATGGTTTCCTTATAAAGAAATATCCAATATCCAGAGCTTCCTATGCAGTTCAAGAAGACACTCCAGCCTTTGTAACAATATCCTTTTAAGAGTAAGTGCTTGGTATTTAAACCCCTTGCAGTCCTATCATCCCAACTTCCAGAGGAGAAAAGTGAGACTCAAGATTCGTAACTGGCCCACAGACACAGAACCATGAAGCACCTCTGCACTGATTTGTAGGCAATGCTTCTGGTATAGTAGTCACTATGACATACTGCCATCCAAGTCTCTAAAATGGACCTTTGGCTGAAAAGTAAACACCAATAAACCACTGCAGTTTCCTCCCCTTCAGGAATCATACTCAACTGAGCACATGAAAACACAGCATATAATGGTTCAGTAAGGCCCTCAGATCTATTCCAATAGTTTTGGAATTCTGTTCCCAGGGTAAAATAACTGCCTTTTAAAATACAAATCTTATAATACAAATCTTGAAACACTAGACTATGATTTGAATCCAAATCTTTTGAAACATTAGACTATGATTTACAATCAACTATCAACTGAGAATAAGTCCTTGTCAAATCTCAGTTGCTCTAATTCTTCACTCCAAAGACAATTTCTTAACTCCATATTCACTTAAACATGTGAAAACCTCTATCAAGTTATCTCTTCAGAGTCTCTCTGAACTCCAGAATTCTGCAAGTTGGCAAAACACTCTCCAAATATATTATTTATAGAGCTACTCAGAACCTTTAATATTTTGTAACACATTACAGATATTTAAGAGATAATGTATTGTTTTCCTTAAACTTTAAAGTGATTGCTTCTGGCCCTCTTTTCCCCCTCCTGTCACCTATCTACCTATCCTCCCCCGAAACGTAACTTAGAAAACAAGGCAACCTAATCCAAGAAAAGGTACTTGAAAAAGACCTTATTCATGTTCTTTTCTGAAATACGTAAGGCTGCAGTTTAATGTAATTCCCATAATAAAATAAATACCTTTTCTACTCCTCTGAGAAATTTGTCTGTTCCTGTATAGTTTCTCCTTGGATCTGTTAGCAATTCACATAGTCGCTGAATAGTAAAAGGGATACTGCAAAAAAAATATAATTTTATGGTCTGAGGTCATTAATTATCAAGAGACTGGGAATATTACTTATTTTGATAAAGCTTTATTCACCCACATGCTAATAAACTACAACAGAAAATGAATGAGTCATTTAAAAACACACAAGATTAATAAGCACACCTGTCTTTATTTAACAAAAACAAAGCTTTCCTATCTTTAAGAATCAATAAAAGGCACCAAAAATTAACAGAATGCTTCAAAAATGACTGGAGAGAAAAAAAATTTAATACAATATTCTAGATCTTGATAATTCAATTTTAAGATTACAAGAGGAGTAACACAATCAAGTTATTTTATTTACATACAGAAACTTCAACCTTTCTTCTGAACATAAAGATTTCTTAAGGGTTCAAGTAAAACTATAAATGATTTTGCTATTGGATAGAGTAAGAAATTATTCCAATGAAAAAGTATTTTAAATAATTTGGCTCCATCATTACAATTTTATATACAATCTACATATTTAATCAATCTTATACTTTCACCAAAATGCAATTTTTACTTCACCATAGCAAAATACACAACTGACATAAGCTGGAACAAAAATCATTTTATAAATCTAAAACAGGTTTTTAATCTCATATACCTAGTAGCAACCATGAGAATTACAGTTGAAAAACAAAGTTATAAACACTGCATGACAAATGTTTTAACAAAAATGTATAAATATTACTTTATCTTTATACTCATTGTTTGCCATACAAAAATCTATTTTTCCTTATGACAAGAATTAGAAAAACTTTAAATCAGTAGTTAGCATTCATAACATTTTTTATGGGCAGTTTGACACAATATTGTCAAAAGCAGCAAGTGAGTAACAATGCCAGGACACAAACCCAATGTCTCTAACTTCAAATCCTATCCTTTGTTACTGTACTACACATACTTGACAAAATAATTATTAAATTGGGCTACACTTGATTATCATAAATTCTCATAAGAATATAAGATTACAACAAATTTTGAAATGTTTTAAGTAAATGTTATTCATATTAAAACAAATGCCCTAATTTTTTTACTCAATTAACTTTTAAACTTAAAAAGAAACTTTTTGACAAAAAGATACTAAAAGATGAAAGGACACCATAAATATTCACTATAAACCTCCAAAAACCTCTGTGATGTTCATTACGATTGGTACAAGAAATTCTCTTATGCTCTTGATATTGTTTACTTTTGAAAATTGATTCATAGTAAAGCACAAAGTCAAGATAAAGGATCTTTTAAAACCGAAAAAAGAACAATGCACACCAACAACATTAGTAATGATGAAACAGATCATATTTTTATTCACTCCTATAAAGACAACATAAAATTACAAGTGTACAGTTAGTACTACATATACTACATATAACACACTACATAAATAACACATCAGTTTCTCATCTTTCCTTTGTCATAGTTAACTAAAAATCTCTAAGTACAGGATACAACATTATTACTATGGTCAATATATGGTTTATTGATATATATGTGTATCTGAAATGCTGTACTTCAAATATTAGAGGGATATACCTGCACCTTGGCCCTTCTTATATGTCATTCATCTCAAAACCTATCAAATACACACAAGGTACACATTAACTACTCTCCTTACATCTATTGTATAGGAACACTGTAATCCAAACAGTTTATACACTACTTGAAGAATACAGAATAGCACCACAGTTTCTGGTATTCAAGCACTAATTGAAAAATATTGTCTAGTTATGACTTGTTTTCCAACTATAAAATCTCCACACCCAAACCAATTATTTTTTCTCTTAAAATTAGCTTTTAAGGCTCAATGGTTTTAAATTTTCTGTTTAACACTTAGTAAATATTTGGCTAATTTTTTTAAAGGAGTTATATAAATAGTGGCCAATTATTAACACTCTGTTGGTATTAACACTGCTGTTGGGGTTAAACAACAATGTCTGCACTGATGTGATAAAATGAATTTACATTCTTAAGACATTTTCAGAAGCTTTCTAATGTAATTTGACCAAGTATCTTGTAGGTGATACTAAAATGTCATACAGCTTTTCCTTATATTGAATATTGTAAATAAATCTATCACTGAAAGTAGCAATCTAAAATACTATTGAAAGGTCTCCACATGCCTCTAACCTATTCCCTAAGTATTAGGTGCTGCTATAAAATAGAAATACCCAGGCTTGCTGAAGAGCAGGATATGTAAGTAATCACAACGATAATAAGTACTAATAATATCTGTAGACTGTACTGTAGAGGTAGAATAAACTATGCTAGGCAAGTAAGCAGAAACCTGGGAACAGTTAACTTGACATAGGTCTTTAAAAGAGTAAGAATAAACCAGATAAACTAAATCCAAAATAAATGTATTTGGTATGAGTACATGAAAGGCTCCCTTGTGTTATTCTTTTATTAGATATAGCACACACAAGTTTAAGCTAATCTCATGAAAATATTCTTCCTAATGATTAAAAAAATCCACTGAAGACATGATAAGAATAAACAGCAAAAATGCAGATGTAAAAACTATGCATGCCACTCATTCATGATAAAAAACATAAACCAGAATTCTTAAATTTGTGGGTGGATTGGGAAAGGGCATTCATTACTAAAAGTATATTACAAAGTAAGTAGTTAAAAAGAAACAGAGCTATTTAAAACTAAATGTGTCAGCCAGGTGGCTCACATCTGTAAACCTAGCTACTCAGGAAGGTGCAATGTGAGGATCACAGATCAAAGCCAGCTGGGGCAGAAAAGTCCATAAAACTCTTATCTCCAATAAACTAAATGGAAAAAGACGAGCACTGTGGTTCAAGTGGCAGAGCACTACCCTTGAACATTAAGAGGCTCAGGGACAAGAGCACCAGGACCTGAGTTCAAGGCCCCAGGACAGGCAATGAATGAATGAATGAATCCACAACTTATTCTGCAATACTTTCTCTGCTCATATTGTAAAATGAATATAGTAGCTATCTTTTCTAATTTGAATATATGTATGCATATAAAATTCAATAAATTTAAACAAAATCCCTACATATTAAGGATCAAATAGTAACAGATACTACCGAATATTATTCAGAAATATAAACTACCATTGATCTTTCCATATACAAATGATTAAGTGTGTTTAAAACCAAGGCTGGCTAGACCTTACCCTAGTTCAATCTACCTAAGCCTTCATGTTCTTAGGAAACAGACTCTAAGAATGCACTTATTAATGTACTTACTATGAGGCCTAAATATGATGTAATGTATGTAAAGCACCTAACAGCACTTACAGTGTTCAATAAATCTTGGTTCTTATAATCATCCCTTCAATATCTAATGAAGACTTTAGGAAAGCACCAAATTCTCCAAAGACTACAGAAGAATAAAATCAAAAGTGTAAAACTCAACCTTTAAAAACACTCTCTTTAAGGCCAAAGAAAGCAGCTAACCACTATTTTACAGTAGCTGTTTGTCATTTTTTATTGTAAAGCTGCTATACAAGTGTTATAGATACTTGAATCAGGTGTAATGAATAAAGAGTACATTTTTTTTTGAACCATGCCTCCCCTTCCGTCGCGCTCTCCTGGTTTTTCCCTCCAGTCCCCACTAGCCACAAGATATCCAGTTCATTTTCAAGTGTCCAGTGAGTATCCTGTTCTATCTGTTCATCCTTGTTCTACTTTTTATGTGCCCTCCCTTATCCTCCTTTGTATTTGTCACACATACAAACAAACAAGACCAAAGGAAAAGACAAGAGCAATAAGGGCAACTAAAAAATGTCTCGTTTCCTTTTCTTGGGAGTTAATTTCACAGAGTATTGCTTATATATATGTAATACATGTCTGTATGTATATTCTAGGCATAGGCATATTCTAGTTACCACAAATGAGGAGGACGATGCAGCCTATGTTCCTTTGGCTCTGGCTTACTTAATTACTGAATTTTTTCCAAGCCCACAGAAGAGGAGAAAATCTTCACTAGCTATGCATCAGACAAGAGCCTCAGATCTAAAATATACTTAGAGCTCAAAAAATTAAACCCCCCAAAAATAAAGCCTCAAAAACTCAACAAACCAATCAATACAAGGGCTAAAGACTTAAAGAGACTTCTCAAAGGAAGAAAAAAGATTGACTAATAAACACATGAAGAACTGTTCAATATCTCTGGTCACAAAAGAAACATAAATCAAACAACACAGATTCTATCTCATTCCAGTTACAATGGCTATTATCAGGAAAAGTAACAGTAACAAGTGCTGAAGGGGATGTGGCCAAAAAGGAACTCTATTACACTGTTGGTGGAAATGTAAGCTCTTTTAACCACTCTGGAAAGCAGTATGGAGGTTCCTTACAAGACTAAACATAGAGCTTCCCTATGACCCAGCAATCCCACTCCTAGGCATTTATCCAAAGGACCACAAACCAGGCCACACTAAAGTCACTAGTACAACCATGTTCATTGCAGCACTGTTTACCATGATATGGAATCAACCTAGATGTCCCTCCATGGATGAATGGCTCAAGAAAATGTGGTACATATGCACAATAGAATTTTACTCATCTGTAAGAAAATGGAAAGCACCTGTTTGTCTTGTTGAATACAACCAGTCTCCAAGCCTTACAAACCTAAAAGCTGTAAAAATTCCAATACTAAAAAGGCTGCTGAACATAAACAAATTCAGTCCTGCTGTTTAAATTGTAAGCCCTAAACAAGGCATTCCCTATTTAAGCATGACTAAAACATATTAAGCTGGTTAAATGATCATTAAGATGTACAATTCGGATAGACGTCAAACTACTGAACTGGAAAAGGTAGCACTCAAAAAAAAAAGCCTATTTCATTCAGTTTCTAAGCTAAAAACAATTACCAACTGTTATCTTTATGTAACAGAAGCAACTTTCTTCATTACTACTCCCCAAAAGAACCATAAAGCATGTAACACAGAGACTCCTGGAGAAAAAATCAAAACAGACCATAAAATCAATTATTACAATATACTAAATGTCAAAATAGATATTTACTTTCTTTTCTCTGTATGAGCCAGTATTTTTTATTCTTTCTTTTCTACATAGACTTACTTAAACTAGTCAGTTGTAAGTAACCTCAGCTGTCAAAAGCTGACTGGATGTATACTTTTATTTACTCTTAAGTCTTACCAAAGTTGTGAATCCATATTTACCTAAAGCAATACATTCTTTGTGTACTAAGGCTTTGAAATTTACTTACTTACACACACACACACACACACACACACACACACACACACACACACACCCTTAACAAGGTTACTTTACACCTCCAATCAAATATCAGAAACTGTAATTTTCTAAAAATTGCATTGTGGAGAAGTATAAAAAGAATTAGTTAAAAAGGCCAGGCAACAATGGCTCATGCCTGCAATCCTAACTAGGAAGCTTAGATTTGATCACAATTCACAACTGATCACAATTCAAAGCCAGGCCAGGCAGGAAGGTCTGTGAAATTCTTATTCCAATTAATCACTAAAAGGCTGGTAGGGTAAGTGTGGCTCAAGTGGTAAGAGAGCTAGCCTACAGTGAAAAAGGTCAGGGAGAGTGCCCTGGGTCCTTGATAGTTCAAGCCTCAGGACAGGTACAAAAAAATACATACATTCTCCAAAACTAATTCATGTATGAAGACAAGGATCTTAAATCACCTCTTCCAGTGCTACAATTATCTAAATTATTTTTTTCCCATCAAATGAAATACTATGAAAAAGACTAGTTTTCTTCCAGTTACTACTTTTCAACTTTTAAAAATTTACTAGATTACCACATTTAACCATATAATTTCTATCAAGGTAGGAAAACAGTAAGGAATGATTCTTAAAATTCACTTAATTATACTATGAAAAAAGCAATGAAGAAAAAGCAGAGCCAAACTCATTACCTATTTTAGAAAGATCTTAGATGAGAACAGCACTGACAAGAACAGGTTTATGAGGGATTACTTGCTTTTACATTCCTTATTTATCCATTCTGAGTAACTAGAGAACATAAAATTTTTTTAACTACTAGCAAATATATCTATCCTTCAAAATCCCTTTATGTACATGTACTAAAGGGATTAGTGTAAACTGCTACTAGCAATGTATAAATGACATATTCATGATGCTGTACATTAGAAAGAAGTTTTGATAATGTTCTTGTTTTATGAAAGACCATATATTCTTTATAATCCCAAGCAGAGGTCCTAAAATGACAAGAATATTACTTCAACTGATTGCTCTATTTAATTTTTATTGTTGGTGTTTCTCACCTAAAACATTATCTTCAGTTCTGGAGAAGTGAAATGAGAACATCCTCTATCCTTCCTAACTTCCCTCCTTTCTTTCCTACACTAGTCTGTCCCATTTTCCAGGTAGGCACCATCATTCCTGGCAAAAGACGTAACTTTAAATCTACCAATTGGAGAGATGTCAAAGCTCTAGTGGAAAGAAACTACAACTAGTATGTAACATGACTCTACTAACATCCCTTCCTTTATCTAATTTTATGACAGTTGGGGATCTTTCCAAAAGTGCCAACATGCTTCATCACTTTTTTTTGGTCGGTCGTGGGGCCTGAACTCTGGGCCTGGGCACTGTCCTCTGTTCTTCAGCTCAAGGCTAGCGTTCTACCTCTTGTGCCACAGCACCCCTTCTTTTTCTGCTTATGTGGTGCTAAGGAATCAAACCCAGGGCCTCATGCACGCAAGGCCAGCACTCTTAACACTGAGCCACCTTCCCAGCCTCTGTTACTTTTGCTAGAAACAATCTATTAAAAATGAGTGGAGAGGTGTAACACTAGAAATGACACCCTCAAACTACTTGAAGAAAAAAAAAACTATACTTAATGTTAAAAATAAAATTGAATTACAGGTCTTTCTACTTGGGCTTCAACTCAGGGCTTCATTTTCACTCACTAGAGCCACATCTTCAGTTTTGAAATAAAAATTCTTAATGTACCACCAATTAAGCCTTAGATTCTAGCCAGGCGTGGTTGAGTACACCTTTATACACCCAGCACTCAGAAGCAGGAACCAGGCAGATCAGGCTACAAAGTAAGGTGCTCTCTCATGTATTCTCTCTCTCTAAAAATAAAAAGGAGGGAGAGAAGAAACCCTGGGATTCTGCTTGATTAAAAATTAGTCATGAACAGCCATTCTCAAAACTGGAATGAAAATATTTAAATTCAAAATACTCATTTAAGACGAAAAACTTTTAAAAGCAATTATGTTTAAGTATGTTTTGGCATTTAATGACTGTTCAAATCATTTTCTGAAGTAGATAAATACCTGTTTTACAGATTAAGGAATTATAAATATTTAGATTTACTTAATAATCAAATCTATATCTAGTCTAACTTCATTTGAAAGAATTAAAATATTTCCTGTTACAAATTGACAAGAAAATTAACTTACTATTCAAAGAAGTGGTATAATTTGACTTGTTTTACCTTAACTCCTCCTTTTTCATTAGTGATAATTCATTGAAAATAAAAGATGATTCATAACATTGAATTACTCATTACCTATTTTAGAAAGATGTATGTCTGTAGCATTTACAAATGTCATATACTCCAAATATACTGATTTAAGGACATTCTATTCAATCCTCAAGCTTACACAACACACTTCTAATACTTAATGTGGTTTCTAGATAGGTGCTTGTTTAAAAGAGAGGATGGAACTGTTGGTGGGAATGTAAACCAGTACAAACACTGTGGACAGCAGTGTAACCATATAGCTTCCCTAGCCATACCTCCATATCCACTTGGGTATACCACTCAGACATCTACCCATATGTAAGCCAGGATACTATATAAAGACACTTCATATCCATGTTCATTGCTGCACTATTCACAATAGCTAAATTATGGAAATAGCCCAGATACCCTACAACAAATGAATGCGTTTTTTAAAATGTGGTAATTATACACAATGGAATTTTACAGTCATTAGAAAGAATAACATTAATATTATTTGCTAGGAATCAGATGGACCTAAAACAAATCATGTTAAGTGAGGTAAGCCAAGTTCAGAGAGACAAAAGGCCATACATACATATTTTCTCTCATATGGGAAAGGTAGATCTAAAATACAATGGGACATGATACATTATACAGGACTCTACAGACATTCACACACATTGAGACTAAAGTAGGATATTCTTAGGGGAAAAACAAAAGGTCTCTAACATAAGATATTTTTCTTAATGAATTCCAAGAAATGGAAACACGAGGTTTGTTTTGGTTTTTTTTCCTATTGTTGTTGGTGATGTTTTTCTTTTTGAGCGTTTTTTTTTCTGTTTTCTTGGTTTTTTTTTTTTTTTTGTCTTGTTTGTTCGTTGATCTGGGTTTTTGGGAGAAGGTGAAGGTAAGGAGAGCACAGAAATGGGGGGGCCGAAGGGTAAACAAATGCAGCACTGGTACTCAACAGACACTGTATTGAAATGAACGACCTAACTTGTGGGCGGAAGGGAAAACTGGGGAGTGAAGAAAGGGTAACACTGACTTATGAACTGGTAACCCCTCTGTACATCACCATTTTTTTAAAAGGGAGAAGGAAAGATCCAATCACAACTGGTAAGGAAACACACATATGGTTAAATGATTTCTAGACAAGGTCCTACAGTTACCTTCCTATTCTAGAGCCCCAGAGGAAAACTACAGCCAGTGAGCTGGTATTGTTAAGTATCCTCTCCCAGAAAGCGGAAAGCACAGCCAAATAATATGAGCAAACTTCCTAAACTTCAAAAGCAGAATTAGATTACATACTTGTTTCAAGTCCCAAGTGAATAAACATCTGGATAACCGGACCATTTACACCAGCAATAACTAAATGTAATCTTCTAATAAAATCTACATATAAATACGAATTTATTATTAGCATAAACATAATTCATTATTAATACTAAATAGTGAACAATTCAATTTTATAAACATTGCTTTCTTTCAATAAAAAACTTAAATATATTAAATCCTAAACCAGAAATTAAAATGACACAATTGAAGCACAGCAACATTTCTTAAACTAAAAGATCACCTTTTAGTTTATTACAAATGTCTTTCTGGTATTTTTAATGTTTTACAGGGGACTAAAAATTGTTATGTGTTGGAAGGGAGGAGACTCAAAATTTCCTAAATGAAGTCACTGGAATACTTTCATTAAACTGGTCTTCATTTTAAAAGAAATGTGAGTTCTCTAATGACATGTGATTTTTTAACCAAATATAAATTATATAGGAAAAACAAATTATCAAATTTATATGAATAGCTTCCATTATCACATTCATTTAAGTACCATGTACTCATAAAATTCAAGCTTTTCTTGAGAAGGCTGTAAATATATTTGTAAGCTGAAAATCATATCTGCCACTAATTAATTCTAAGGCCCTTAAAATTATCAAATAAGATAAATCAAAACTTAAAGAAAAATCTATGATCTGTGAAAAATTAAATCTTTAAAATATTAAAGTACATACCCATTAAATCCAGTGACAATTTTCAGTATTCTCTCCTTCATTTCATCAAAGGGAATATATTCAACATTAGGATTTGGAGGACCCCTTGGTTCAGGGGCTGAAGTTCTGAAATCATCCATCACTTTCTCCAGTTTGAAAATAAAGTAGCCTTTAAATTGGGACCACTGGATCCTACAAACCAAAAATTGAAAATATCATTAAGTAGCTTTATAAATTCTTTAACAAAAAGCAGAATTATGAAATATAAATGATGTCAATATTAACAAAATTAATCAATAACTAAGTATTCATGTCTTTGCTCCAGAGAATATATCACTTATAACCTTTATGCTCATAAGCTTCAAATGATTCCATAAAACTACCCAACTCCTGACTTTTTTTAATATGTATTTTTTATTGTAAAGGTTCTATACAGAGGAGTTACAGTTACATGAGTAAGGTAATGAGTACATTTCCTATTGAGCATTGTTACCCCTCGGCTTTTTTCCCCTACCATCCCTTCCCTCCCGACCTCTCCGACTCCTCCCCCCACCAAAGTTGTAAAGTTCATTTTCAACCTAGTGTCTTGTACATCTCATTGTTAAAATGGGTCAAACTACACTCTTATTTCAGCATTTTGTTATTTCCCTTCCTCTCCCCAAATTAGAAAAATGTATATACAAGATGTAAGTCACCAGAATCAAATACAGTGAAAACAGGGGTTATACTGTGGGGGAGAACATACAAAAGAAACAAACAAACAAAAATCACATAGTACATTATAGGCACATTAAAAGAACAGCAACAAAGATGAAACCTCTTTTGTGTCCCTATCTTGGGGTTCATTTTGCTTAGCATCATCTTGCACATGAAGCAATCCAAAAATTAATATGGAACAATAAAAGACCCCGAATAGCAAAACAAGCCTTAGCAGAAAGAACAGTGGAGGAATATCAACTCCAAACTTCAAATTCTATTACAAAGCCATAGTAATCAAAACAGCTTGGTACTGGCACAAGAACAGACCTGAGGACCAATGGAATAGGACTAAAGACCCAGAAATAAATCCTCTGACTTTTAAAATGAACTCACTCAAAGACTATAGCTGGTAGGTCCTTTGTGTATAAAAATAAGTAATTTTGAATTTACCTCTCATAACAAATCTAATCAGGGAGGTATTACAGGTCAGAAAAGAATCTATAGCTTAATCTCTCAAAGTCAAAAGCTATAATGGTTACTTGGATTAGGTAACAAGAAACTAAAAAAAAACATTTTCTTGCAGTGAGTATTTTCATGCTCTTTTGTCATTTATGAGGTGTATATACTGTTATATCCAATCAGTATGCACAGCAAAAACAATTTCCTTATTTATGTACTTTTCTAATGTTTCATTCACAGAATCTTTCTACATTTTACCAACCATGTAAGAGGATATTTTCGTGATGATACCTTGGTTAACACCTAAATTTCAAGCACACAGGAATACTGACCCATCATTAGTGGCAGGTTAGTCTCTTACTACCAAGACATAATTGCACAAAATAAGGCAAGTGCTAATTTGCCGTAGCTCTTCTATCCTGTTTAGCAACCATATAAACTAGGACAGCACATTACAGCCAAACAATCAAAACTTTTGCTTTTATAATAAAAGAGTTGGGCCTTTTTACTGGACTGGCATGCCCTGATAATACAAAAGCAATCGTGGATAAAACAGACAGCAATTTAGCACAAATTAAAGCTGTAGTATCAAATGATCCTCATAGGAGGAAGAAGCCTACTCTTCCTTAATATGTTGTATAAAATTAAAACTACTAAGTTTACTGAATACAATATTTTTTGAAAACAACTGTTTATAGAATTCTATGCAACCCAAGATAAATATAATCAAAAGATTCCTGGTACATTGCATAGTATGGAGGGCTCAGGAACAACACTTGAATACTGCAATGAGTTGTACAATCCCTATTTTTCATACACTATCCTTTTTACTTGAAGGGACTACCATGCAAATAATGCTTATTCCAACCAGATTATGATTTTATCTCATAAATAAATGAAGTAAACCTGTCATTCATGAGAAACAGCTGACAATATTTGTGGTCAACAATTATTAACCGTCTAAGCAAAAAATAGCCTAATAGCCTAGGAAATGTTTTATTATTCACCTTAAATTCAAAAGGACACAGCTCATGTGATACTATGTGATACTGTTTAAAAAGCCTTTACAATTATTGAAACTCAACTAAAAAAAAAGGCAAAATACATCTCTGAAAATTATATAATTCAGAAACTAAAACAAGCCATGGGGAAAAAAAATCACTTAATAATTTGTCAACAAAGGTAATTATCTTGCCAGGTGCCAGTGGCTCAAGCCTGTAATTCTTACTCACAAGGTTGAAATCTAAGGACTGTAGTTCAAAGCCAGTCCAAGAAGTAAAGTGCCATGAGACTCTTAACTCCAATTAACCACTCAGAAGTGGAACTGTGGTTCAAGTGGCAAAGCACTAGTCTTGAGCACAAAAGCTCAAGGAGAGCATTCACATCCTGAGTTCAAGCCCTAGGACTGGCATCAAAAATTAATAAAAATATTTTTGGGGGTCCGGTCATGGGGCCTGAACTCTGGGTCTGGGTGCTGTCCCTCAGCTCTTCAGCTCAAGGCTAGCGCTCCACCACTTGAGCCACAGCGCCACTTCCGGCTTGTTTCTTTTTGTTTATGTGGTGCTGAGGAATGGAACCCAATGCCTCGAGCATGCAAGGCAAGCACTCTACCACTGAGCCACCTTCCCAGCCCAATAATAATAATTTCTTAAGAATGTATACTCACTGTTAGAATGTAAGCTATAAAAACAAAACCTCAGTTAGAATTTCATATGAAAATAAAATTATCCTAAATGCTCATAAATTCTCTACACTCAACTTCTCAAAAATAAATTGGTTCCTACTATAACCCTGCTGTATATCGCTTTCATAATAAAAATAAAAATGTAAAAAATAAATTAGTGCCTGTTCACAATAGCTAGGATATGGAAACAACCCAGATGCCCCACGACAGATGAATGGATCCAAAAATTGTGGTATCTATACACAATGGAATATTATGTAGCCATTAGAAATGACAAAACAATGGCATTTGCAGGGAAATGGATGGAGCTAGAAGGAATCATGTTGAGCGAGGTAAGCCAAGAGCGAAGAGACAAACGGTACATGGTCTCCCTGATAAGTGGATGATAAATCCAAAATGTTAGGTGATACGAAAAAACTAACAGGACTCAAGAAACAAAGAACTCCTGCTCATCTGGTTGAACCACTACTAAATATCCCCATGCTGCTGATCACATGTATGGTGTATAACACGTGAACACTGTTATATATTACAGACTGTGATAGACAATTTGCTCCAGGAAAGTTAGAATGAACTTGTGACTTAGAAATTATGTAATCATTTAATCACAATTAAAAAAAAAAAAGATCTTCGGGGAAGGGAGGGAGGGAGGGGATGGTAGGGGGAAAACAATGGAGGGGCTAACAATGTTCAAGAGGAAGTGTACTCATTACCTCACTCATGTAACTGTAACCCTCTGTATAGTATCTTTACAATAAAAAAAAGAAAAAAAGAAAAACAACAAAGACTTTTAAAAAATAAATAAATAAATTAGTGCCAACACATACCTTGATGAAATTAACTCAATAATTCACTAAATTTGAAACTAGTACAGGCCCTAGAACATATAGACACAGGCAATAACTTCCTAAATAGAACACTTAACAGCTCAGCAAATAAAGAGCATAAGCCTCTGCACAGCAGTCAAGAAAAGAGATAGCCTACAGAATTGGAGAAAAATCTTTGCCAGTTACATATCTGACAAGAATTACAACTGAATATATAAGAAGCCCCCAAAATACTAAACTCCCCCCTAAAGTATCAACAACCTAGTTAATAAATGCGCAAATGAACTCAATTCTTAAAAGTACAAATAGCTAAAACAGAAATATTCAACAACTGTGGCAAAAAGGAAATGCAAATAACAGAAGACTGAAATTTCCTATCACTCCAGTCAGTACAGCCACATAGTGCAGCACACTAGTCATTTGGCTATGATGATGCTGGTTTTAAACAAACCTATTGCAGTAACAGTTTTATGAAAATATTACATACATAATAATCTACAGAACATACCTAACATGATGATAAACTGTTGTTGCTAGTTTATGTGCCTACTTTACTTCCTAGTCATAATGCTGCAGAGTACATCCACTCATTTAAAAGTTTACTGTAAAGCAGCAGCAACCTCATGATCACATTTCCTGTATATCTTGATTGCATCAAGAGGCTACGTCAAGTGACTGACTTATACCATGTAGGTTTAAGTAGCTAGTGTACTATGTTTGAATGATGAGAAACTCAACTAAGGACATATCTTACAGACTGAATCTCAGTTGTTAAATGGTACATGTCTGTACTTCTAATGCTATGAGGATTAAAATTAGTATAAACAGTATGGAGCTAAGTGACTTACACCTGGTAAGCACTCAATGTTTTAGTTTCCTCAAGATACTCAAAAGGAGAACATTCAGGGAATATAGTAGTGACATGCAGAAAACATGTAAGATGAGGCCAGCATTGTGAAACGGCATCAGTAAGAATAACTAGTACAGTAAGAAAGATTTCAGTTAGATCTTAGTAAGATAAATTAAGAAAGTATGATGTACTGTCATACAACAGTCAACTTAAGGCAGTTTCTGGCCTATAGGCATTTTAAATAATTCTCTTTCATTAGAGAAAGAAGAAAATGCTTCCCCAATATTAATTCTCCACTCATTCTTAAACTATTCCCTTTCAGAAAATATAGGAAATACTTTGATGAAAAATACAGAAATAGGACTGGGAAGGTGGCTCAATGGTAGAGTGCTTGCCTTGCATCCATGAGGCCCTGGATTTGATTCCTTAGCACCACATAAGCAGAAAAGGCCAGAAGTGGCACTGTAGCTCAAGTGGTAGAGCGCTAGTCTTGAGCTGAAGAGCTGAGGGACAGCGCCCAGGACCAGAGTTCAGGCCCTACAACCAACCCCCACCCCACCGCCCCCCCAAAAAAAAGAAAGAAAGAAGAAGTGGAGCTGTGGCCCAAGTAGTAGAGTGTTAACCTTGAGCAAAAAGCTCTGGGACAGCACCCAGGCTCTTAATTCAAACCACC